GGCCACCCCTGCAATAGAAGTTGTGCTTGCTTCCCAAGGTACAGACTGGAGGCAGGAAGGATGTCTTCCTCCCCAATACTGCCTCCTAGATGTTTAAGAATGGTTGCCCTTCCCTTTTAAATCTATCCACCTGCAACTTCCCCCGCCCCGCCCCGCCCCGCCCCGCCACTTTATTTTTCATCAAAATTTCATTTTGTTTGCAAAAAAAAAGTTTTCCAACCCATTTTGCAAAATAACTAGGACGTGAGCAATTTTGTGAGCAACATCTGCTCTTTGACAATTCACTTGTTCATTACATCTCTCCGGGGAACAACTAGGGAGATAATTCCTGCCTGCCCCCGCTTTTGATTTCTGGCCTTGTAGATTATAAACCCTTCAGGGCAGATGTTTCCATATGTGTCCCAGCATTTATTCACATAGCACAGAGTCACCTTACACCAGCTGGAGGTTTCCAAGGGATAATTCTCCATAGTTGCCTCTGACATGAGCTATCCCCTTCACTTCTCACCTGAGGAGGAGGAGGTGAGGTTGCCAGGGAAGAAGGATGGATGGCAGAACGGGCCTAGACTGCACCCAGTCCTTGGTTAACATGAGGGGCCTCATATAAAGATCTTCATTTTGAACCAGAGAGCATTCAGCAGGCTTTAGTCAGGAGATGCAACTGGCTCTGTGCAGCTACCTGTCAAAGTTACAACAGGGCCAAAATATCCCCCCCCACTATTGTAGTCAAAAGTAAAATGTACCCAGAAACCTGTGCATCATGGCTGGCTGTCCACCTGGTGGGCACCATCTCCTAGGAACAGCTAGCATCCTGGAGACTCTGGGTCTTGCTTGGCTCTCTTCAATGCCCTGCTCGGTAGCAATAGCCACAGCATGGGGCACAATTGTGGGTGGATGGAGAAGAGAGCCTCAGCAAAGCATGGCTAAATGCAATGCATTTTAGAAATGCAGAACTCTAAAGCTCTTGGTTCAAAGATGATATCTTTTATTAGACCAACTAAGAAATCTGGTCTAATAAAAGGCATCATCTCTGAACCAAGAGTTTTAGAGTTTTGTATTTCTTTTTGTCTCAGACCAACATGGCTACCAAACGCGTCCCTGACATACTTCAGAACCCGCAGCAAAGTTTCCTGTGCCTCGATTACAGATCTGCTGTCTGAGGTGGACTCCAAGACCCAGCATGCCGTAGTACACCTTTTCATACAGCCGGTTTGGAGCTAGACAGAGCAGTATACGCCTATTCTTGTGAATTTAGGGACAGCCCTTCAGCTTTTGTTGGCATAGACCCTGATTAAACAAGCCGCTTGCTGTAGATCAGTGGTTTTCAACCCTTCGTCACCGCATACCCCTTTATCAGCAAAATACTGCTGCAGCGCTTATACCCACTTGACCCAACATGTCTCTGTTTGTTTATTCCTTAGGAGGAGTGTTGACACTGATGCCAATGCATGACAATGCCATTACTCACCAGTCAGGAGCTCCACTACCATTATTAATATTTAAGCACATACCCCTTGGGAAAGTGCCACATGCCCCAGTTTGGAAACCATTGCTATAGGGAAACTGCGTCAGATTCTGCTCGAAGCTACAGAGCTGTGACTTTCAGCTAGCTGCCCAGCCATGTTAGGCGTACTCTTGAACTAACTGTGGCCAGTGAGAAACAACACCGCTGCAGGATACATCAGTACATCTGGCCAACGCTGGATTCAGAAAGGAGACAGCCCTTGCTCCCATAGCATGTAAATCTCGTCATGCTCCTTCACACAGTGAACAGAGGTATTTCCACCCCTCCCCAAACACATCTGGCATCCGCTGTCTGTGCCAATGGGTTGCCATGGCAATTTGTAGCAGACCAAGGATGGATGGAGGCATCACATTCATGACCGAGCTCCACTTGCCCTTCAAGCCCTGGAGCCTGGCCTAGGGAAATGTTGAATGCTGCTCTCCATGTGCAGGGATGCTGCTGCAGCCAGCAGGGGAATGAAATATTTAGACAGACGTATGTGACTGGAGTGTGCAGACTTCTCACCATCAGCTGCCTCACACCAAATGTGTCTGTTGCCCCTCATCGGGAGGCCTCCTTCCCACTCCCCACAGTGTGAATCTATGCACAGCCCGACTGTTTCACAGATTAGCCCACAATCTGTTCACAACATTTCTTAACTTATTTTAACTGAGTTCAATGCTAAGGAACAGGAAGAGCTGAATGGCACCACTGAGAAACAGGCACAGCATGGACAGGACACTGGCAAGGCAAGAGATTCACTCTAGATGGGTATGATCCTGTCTACCTACAGCATTGCCCACACATGTTGGGGTCTTAGTCCAGCCCTGGGCTCTCCACACCCAAGTCTGGTAATGCATCTCATTTCTAACCTTCACCTCTCCACCCATTACCATCTTCCTAACAGAGTGCTGTCGAAGGGGTCTCCACCCTGAGTTGCTGCTCCACTGCTATCATGCTCTTGGGCTTTTCCTAGCAAAGGCTGCTTTACAGTCACACTGAATCAGGTGGTGGGTTCCCAACATGGATTTAAATGTCAGTGACACCCACCTACCTCACTCACCTTTCTAGCTTTAGATCGATCTAGACTCAATTCTTCAGAGGGACAGAAACCCCCTAGATGCACCTTGCTGAGCTATGCTAAGAAACGTGACGTAAGAATGAAAAGACATTTTCATTTCATCTTGTAAACAGGAGCCAATGCTGCAATAATTAACAAAGTCTGAAAGAATCAACCGTAGTACTTACCAGGTGATAAACATTTTTGAAGAACCGCCTTATTTCACCGCTCTCTTGCTTGTGAGGATGAAGCCATTGTCCTCAACTGCATGTTGGAATCAGGTAACACGGTTCTGTTACCTGCTCTTCAGCAGACTTTCCTGGCAAGTCACTGTCTCTCTGTGCCTCAGTTCTGCAATCAGAGAGTAGCAACTTCCCTACCGCACAGGGCTGCTTTGAGGATAAATACATTAAAAGACTGTGAGAGGCTCTGTTACTATTGCAATGGGCCCTAAATAAATAGAGGTAAGCAGTGAGACAGACAGTTGTTTCACTGTTTCTGCTCCCCTCATTAATCCCTCTTTATAGCTTCCTTTGTTTGCAGGGTATTGCCAGATAGAACGGAGCCAAAAAAATGTAAGAAAAAACATTTTAACAACATTTCTGACACAAGCAGGAAGTGCCCACAGTCCTACACGACAGACTATTCTAAGCAACCTAACTCGTTTTGGCTGACTTGACACGTTAAAGTTGTACAAATAAATCATAAAGAATAATTTGACTGGTTTGAATGGAATCTGGCATAATCAAAAGCCAGTCAGGGGCTGGTCTTTTAATGAAGCTCAAAGCTGTGATTGGTAAAAGGTATTTTTCCTTGGCAGGGTTTTACAGAAGGAGTGGCATTTCCTCTCCTATGGATAGTCCTGCTTCATGCCTAGGACTTCTGCCCATGGGGAGAGAGAGGTCTGGTGTCAGATTTAGGAAGAGCAAAAATGACAAATAAAAAATCTTGGGAAACAGATGGCTCTGGGGACTGGTAGAGAGATATACAGAGCTTTTCACTTCTCAGCTGGGGTTTTGGATGTTTTCCAGTTCAGCTGGGAAGGAAAGCTTTTGCCATCTGATGCATGCTCAGAAGGCAGTGTGAACCCACTGACCTGGGAGTCTCAGCTCACCTGGTGGACACACACCTACCTTCACTAGAGAAGCTGTTTGTTCATCCCCTCTTCTCCCCCCGGGCTCCTTGGCACAAGTCTCAGCACCTGACCAAAGGCTCAAACGGCCATATGGAATTGCCCTTTCCACCTCAGAGCTGATCAAAGAGGAAGCTTGTCAACAAGCCGATTTTCCATGCTGCCACGGCTAAGCTGTACCTGTTCTATGGGCAGAAGGCAGCAGCCTCCAGGGCTGTCTGTTCATGAAAGACCTTCACTCAAAGAGGCAAATGAGAAAAACACTCACTCTTTGGGAGCAGAGCAATAACAGCAAGGGGTTGGGGTGAAGGCTCTTGACTGAGATAACATCCCCATTGTGAATGTCTCTCCAGTTGTAGGAAATACAGACCCCAACTGCTTATCAGAGAGTTTCAAAGCTGCTGTTTCACCTATGACTCTGCCTTGCCAGGCAGAGATGGGGAAGGGGCAGTCTCGAGTAGGAGTCCCACAGTGCTGGGGATACCTGCTGTAGTTGTATTGTCATCAGTGGTGACCTTCCAGGCTTCCTTCCCTGCTTGTACACCCAGCCCCTGCACTGGGTCCCTGAGCCTTACAGCTCCCTGGAT